ATGGCAGGCACCAACTTCCTTGGCAACCCAGCATGTACCTTTGCCTGCGATTGGCAGACAGTTGACTGTTCAGGTTGAGGCTCCTGTGATTGCCCCAGAGAGTCATACTCGGACTGTGCAGAGAGAGTAGTCACAGGTTCCTCAGGGGACAATAACGATAGAAGAAGGCAAGGAAAACAAGATGAAGGAATCCCAAAGCTTCGCAACGCCAGAACACATGCCTCTGCTCACTAGCTTTGGAGAGGCTCTAGGGTCTTGGGCCTCCGGCTCTGAATTAGAGAGACATGGCAATGGACAAGTGGTACAGGAGGGTGACAGAGGAGTTTGCCCTGAAACTTCAGCGATTATTCATCAGGAAGCCACCAGCCAGGCTACAGGCACCCCCTCATCTGCACTACCCTCAGAGGAGATCAAAACAAAAGCAGTGCAAAAGAAGCCTGGGAAGTGTTTCTATTGCAAGAAGGGCAAGCACTTTTCTGATGATTGCCCCAAGTTCTATGAGGACGAGGTAAAGGGTTTTGTTACCAAAGTATCCACTGGGATTTGGAGAGATAGGAGTGGTAACTTGGTTGAGAGGTCACGAGATGGTGGTAGGGCACAATTGTACAGACAGATAGGCGAGGTGTTCATTGGCTAAAGTTAATAATGGGGTCCGGAAAGGTCTAAACTTAAAACAAGAAGACTTGGAACTCAATCCTGATGGATAGTTGTATAAAGGAGGACACATGGAGGATTGGATCAAACCCATGTACATCAGTGATTTGGTGAAAAAGTCATAGGGAATTTTCAGTCTTAGGTGTATAAAGAAGTTACACTGAAGGGAATGGTCACTAATTTTTGCTTATTCTTTTGTGTGGTGTGGAGTGTTTAAATGTTACTTGTGTATATTTCGTCGGTCCTATTAAGTAAAGTTTGGAGTATGAGAGTTATGTGTGAGCAGAGTGACAGCTACAATGACTTTTTGGACATTGCTCTTAGGACACCTTGACATTCTTTTACCTTGTACGATATTTTGATTTTTCTATAAACAGGAGTTTTTGCTTGTCTACAAAGCCCAAATTTCATATACACGTGTGGATTTCAGACACTATTGTCACAATCACCCTCAGTTTTGTGAGTTTAGTCCTAATACAAATGATTTTTGTGGTATATTCATGTAGTCAGATGATTCAAACTGTTGAATCTTCCGTTGCACTTAAGCATACCTGTTATGATAACAGATGAAGCTTTAAAAACAAAGGAAGAGGGTGCACTATTGTTAAAAGAATGTCGCAATGTGATTTAGAAAAGGTACTATGTTTGTGTTTTTGGTATGGTTTCATGAGAGGACAGGGATGCCCGAAGATTGGCTAACCCTCAGAAATGTGAGTGATATTGTGAGAGCATCCAAAAAAGAGGTTATGATGATGGACAATTGTATGACTTGCAAAGATTGTACAAATGAAAGCCTGACAAGGAAAAACCAAAATTCTTGTGAGAATTATTGTGAAATATTGTGGCATTTATGATGTAATTTTGTGTGGCCCAACCTACTATGATCAAAGTAGGGAAGGTCACGACCTTGTGGATTGATGACTTTGCTGGAAATTTTGAGAGAAGGCACTATCCCTCCACCTAGTCCCGTGGGCAGTTGGTATGTGATCCTTTATTGGCATTGAGAAAATTGAGGAATCTTGGTGATAAAAATGATGGACCACTATGAAGTCAGTCTAAGGAACATATTTGAAAGGCCAAGCTAAGGGGCTATACTTAGCCTCACTGGGATATAACTCCCAGCGTTGGCTGCTGGCCGGAGCAACCTGGCAGCGGGCCCATGGCTCACCAAGGGTTAGGTCTTGAAGGGTCGGTCACTCCTTTGGAATGCCACGATAGGAAAAATCACTTATTGTTACGCAACTAACAAGGGCACCGTCGCTATATAACAACACGATGGGCTGCGGATTCGGGATGATCAACCAATCTGCGGTGGCCCAAGATGGAGACGTAACCCACCTGTGCTAAACTCCAGGATGGGAATTTTATTATGATAAATAAATGATGTCGCTAAATTACCACCCGGGACTGAGGTGCCGTTGTATTTCGAGAGAGGTCTCGGTTAGGGCCCGCGTCCAAAGCCGTGAGCTCGTTCGCGGGATCGGGACTACGGACACCCAACGAGAAGTCGACGACGTCTAGGATGAAGGGAGAGGACTATCAGCCTGCTACCTAGAGCATATTACGCTGTAGTACATAACAGAGTATCCCCTAATTTTGAGGCCAGGATATGGAAGACCGAGGTTAAAACCATGGCAGTGGAGCACCGTGACGAGGGCAGATTGAGAAGATACCTCGAACGAAATCGACCCCGTGAATTGGATTGGTTACTTCCTCGTCAACAAACGTGTTTTTGTTGTTCTTATAGTTTTGATTGCCCGACGCGACAGGGACATCGCTTAATAGGGTCTAGAAAAATTGTCGGCCCAAATACCCTCACAAGGGTATTTGTGCGCATTTTTACATCTCGTAGCATTTTTTAGGATACTCGAGAGACTGTCCCATTTCTGCGTGATCATAACTAACTCTAAGACATTGGAATAACAAGCATACCTTTTATCTGATTATAGAGTGCGTGGGCGTGCACTTTGAGGGCACGCATGGGTTCTTAGGCGGACGTCTGGTTATGTTCGTAAAAGCGACATCGACGCCTGGTAGTGTGAACTAGAAGAGGGTTGAGAAGCAACTGTTGTAGCGCACGCAGAGTGCATTCGCGTTCGAGACTGGCATTTGATGATTCGGGTTAGGATTAAGTCACCAGATCTGTTGACTTACCTCGGACGAGAATAGGACCAGTGTGGTGCGAAGTGCCCGACTTCCTAGGTCGACCATGTTATCGATCAACGGTAGAAGTCGGGGGCGGCACCAGGAAGGACCGGCGTAAGTAGGGGGTAGTATGAATGGAAGTCGGGGTTTTCCCGACACTTAGGAAATAAAAGTACCTTTTCATGAAGGTAGCCTACTAAGAAAGGGGGAGTCTTTGCAGCAGCGCGATTGTGTCGCATGCACGGCAACCATCACATGTACGGCAACCATAGGTAAAACTGACCTCTTCATGCAGCAGGGGCAGGTGCATAGGAGCCATAGAAATGGCTGGTGTGCCAAAGTACGGCTTTTAGCACAATCCGACAGGCGTAGGCCTGAATCAGATGTCTTCATAACCAAGACTGGGTCTCCTACACCTAGACTTGGGCCTAGCCCTATAGGTTACGACTTTGGATTGATGCTACAAAGATGCGGGGATGGAAGCCAGCAACCGACGACGAAGGAGCAGAGGAGTAGCTTGCAAGGGGGCTAAGGGGTTGAGGGTCTCAAGGGACTATCCCCTTTGGTTACGGACTCCAATCGTGGGCCCGACAGGCAGGACCAAAAGGGAACCACTAGGCTTTTTTCTCTCCTGCTCGTTGTTTTTTTATTTTAATCTATTTATCTGGTTGTGTTCCGGTACCGGTCCGGTGCCGGCATGGGGCCAAGAGCCAAGCTGAGAAGGTACACCCACGAGCTGTTGAATTACGTACCCGAGTTAGTGGCCCACGAGAAGCAGATAAGTGAAGTACTTCTGTTTTGAATTACCTAGTCCCGGTTGGTCTGACGGTGATACCAAGGTGTTGCTCGAAGGAGCAGTCCTTCGGGACATTCGTTAAAATTGGAATGATATAGAGAAGATTAGCATGGCCCTGCGCAAGGATGACACGCATCAATCAAGAACAAGGTCCGACAGCTGGTTGTTGTTTTGTTTCAGCCGAAGAGCCAGTCGAACCGCGTGGCGGGGTTGAAGTCAGAGCTTGACGTGAATGACAAAGGGGTTGACGAGAGGAGGAAGAACAGAGGTGGAGACTGAGCTCGCGGAGACTGAGATGGCCTATCTGGAGGAAGAACGGAGGTGGAGACTATGCTGGCCTGCCTAAAAGACTGAAGGAGGGGAAGTGGATCTATACGTGGGTCTGGGCGAGGTGCATCCGAAACGGAAGAAGAAGAATATTGAGGAAACGAGCGTGAAGGAAGGAGGTATCGACCATTACTCAACGAAATCGGGCCAAAGAAGATTCTACTTCAGAGTTTTTGGCAAGGGCGACCTCGAATCTAGGGCCAGTTTTAGTGAAACGTTAGTAGGATTAGAGTCGGGAAACAAAGGGGGTGCGTCGAGGTGATGAAAAGAAGGACCATATCCCCTCCAGCTTCATCTCCCCGCCATGTCCCCATCTCCCCGCCATATCCTCTCCACCTTCATCTCTCTGGCATGTCCCCATCTTCCCACCATATCCCCTCCACCTTCATCTCTCCTCCATGCCTCCACCTTTCTCCTCCAATCGTCCATCTCTCCTCCATATCTCCTCCATATCTTTTGCATCTCTCGTCCATCTCTCGTCCATCTCTCGTCCATCTCTCGTCCATCTGCACTCCACGTTTCCTCCATCTATCTTTCATCTCTCCTCCATGTATCTTCCATCTGCCGTCCTATCCTCCATGTATCCTCCTCGAATGGCAGCACAACAACACTCCTTCCAACAGCGAGATGGCGGCACTCGTCCCTCCAACAGCGAGATGAACAGGTGCGTGCCTCCCTCAGACCTCACAATTAACACCCCTCCACCTGCCAACCTCCATCAGAACCCCCACACAACAAAAAAACAAACACCCCACACGACTCCGCATGGTGTGGGTCTGGGAGCGCACCAGATCTGCACAGCCCTGACCCCCACGGCCACCCTCCGTACTGCCACCCTCCGTACCGCACTGTGCAGAACTCCGTACGGGTCGGGTCTGTGCAGGTGCGGGCAGTGCGGAGATCAAGCACCCCATGCACGCCGTACGACGCACCGCACAGCATGAAGGTTCATACAAAAACACACTGCAGCACCAATGGGCTTAGATCAGTTGGTACACCCATGAACTCTTGAAATACAGACCCCAGTTTGAATCCACGTGCAACAAAGATTACCAGAATAAAAAACATTGCATCCCACCTGTGCTATGAATGCAACACTCTCTGCGCGACCACCATATGAGCGAACCAGATGATGAGCAACCTCACTGTCAAAGGCGCCAGGAATGATCTTCCCCCCATGTGAAATCTTCATCCTTCTGTACTGCTGAGTCAGCACTGTAACCAGCCCAGGGTCATAGCCCTCTGCCCCAACCAGGCGCAATCGGTCAGTCACGGACTGGTTGTGGGGTGCCAGCCCTGCTGCCTTCACTGCAGCATCCACAGCATCTTCTGCCATGCTTCGATACGTCGTCCACTTGCCACCCACAATAGTGACCAGCCCATTGTCATCAACTACAACCACATGGTCTCTTGAAGCACTTGCTGTATCAGAAGCTGATGGGTCCGTCACCAACGGCCTAATCCCACTCCAGGCGGACATCACATCCTCTCGCCGCACCTGTTTTCACAAAACCAACCCACTCCACCCAAAAGTTAGCCTCAGTAATTACACAAACCTGTTCACACAAAAGCAATCCAATCCACCACCAAATGTGAGTTTCAGCTATGCTTTGAAATAGCAATTCTTTGTTTCGACTATAAGTCTACAAGCACTGTTTTGAGGTTTATCAGAATTAATAGGTACAGACAGTGCAGTAGCATTCCATCGAAAAAATCTTCGTGAATTTGGCCACGTTGAATGAAGAATCTTGCTTCCTAAGTTCCTATTTGTAAGGACCTGTAAAAATAGAGACAGAGAACACTGCTGATTTCTTGGTTTTGCAACTGGAATGTGTGTTTTGCTGAGATTCACTTGTTTGCTGAGTTTTGTGAGTCTGTGCGTGTGCGTGCTTGCTGGTTTTTGAGTGCCCGCCTGAGTTCACGCCTGTCTGAGTGTGAGTGTGGCCCACCAGGGCACTAAAGTGTTTGAGAGGCCCCCGGGCCGATACTTACCTGTGGCCGTGACTTTTGAGGGTTGCATCGGGCCACTCAAGTAGCAGGTAGCTAGGCCAGTAGCACTCGAGTAGCAGTAAGCCTAGCAGAAGAAGACAAAAAAAGCTAGGATTTGCTGAGGTCGAGGAACCCGTAGGCCTAGGTAGGCGGGTACCAGTCCAAGTAGCCTGAGTCTAGGGCCTGTGTGGACGATATCAGACCTGCAATGAAGTTTCCCTCCGAACGGAGGAGGGAAGTTGCCTCACTATATCTCCAGGCTGAGCCAAGGGCTCAGCCTCATTGGCGGTGTGCATGTTTGGGTGTCATGCTGCTTGGCCGGGCGCTGGTTCCCAGAGCACCGCTGGGAGGAGGACGGAGGAGCTGGGCACTTTGCTTGGCTTTGGCAAACTGCCCAGTCTGAGGAGGAGGAAGAAGGGCGTGAAGGAGGACAGTAGTGAGGTACTTACCTGGCTATGGAGGTCAGCATCTTCATCTTCTTGATTGACGCTGCAGCTGGAAGGCCCAAGTTAGGGTGCAGAGTCAGGCATGGCGGAGGTGTTGCGGACATAGCTACTTTTGTGTTGTCTTTTGAACATGAGGGGTTGGTCCCTGATGTCCTCCATAGCCATTACCTTCCGATGGAGGTGGAAGATAGAGGTCATGGCTACAAGGGTACCTGTTGCGGCCTTGCTAGCAAACACAAACATGATGGGTGATGCATTCACGGTGGAGGCAACTGACTGATTCTCTCTCTCTCTCTCTCTCTCTCTCTCTCTCTCTCTCTCTCTCTCTCTCTCTCTCTCTCTCTCTCTCTGTGGCAGATGTAGATCCCACACGGGCCCAGCAGGACCCGTCAGGAAGGTAGGAAGGGGTAGAGACCTAGCTTCGGGGGCGCCAAAAGTAGGGCCTGTGTCGGTTCAGGCCAGAAATTGGGCCGTTTTAGGCCCACACCAGGTTCGGCATGGCCAGGCCCTGGTACTGGCAACGGTTCAGGCCCTGGCCTCCTTTTTCTTTCCCGGCCACACTTGGACTGTCGGATTCAATCCAAGTGTACGGCCTGATTGATTTCCAGGCCATTCATTCTGGGCCTCACGTTTAGGCCAGTAGGACCTAGGAGAGGCCAGACCAGTAGCATTTATAGACTGGTCTGCCTCTCACTCGGTAGGTTAGTGTGAGCTGCTATTCAGCGTATGCTGCGTTAGTCTTCAGCACTGGGCGCCGTTACGGTAGGCCAGAGGTGGTGAGCATGGAGGCTTCAGTGGAGACTGCAGCGGGAGAGAGGGGAAGCCAGCCATGGGGACTTACCTAACGACTCACCTAAAAGCGCCATAGCTCCAGCTTCGTCTTCAGCACTCCGGCACCGGGGTCAAGGAAACACCTCTAAGTGGTCAGTATCTGGTATCATCAGAGAGAGAGAGAGAGAGAGAGAGAGAGAGAGAGAGAGAGTTATCTGGTATCTGAGCTTGGTGACATTCGGGCCATGCCCTGTTCTGGTATTCGGGCAAGACCCGCCTTTGGACAATGTGCTGGCATTGGAAACTTTGGGATCGATCGCATTGGCGACTTGGCCTTCTCGCCCCACTCTTCCCCTTCGTCTCCATCTCTGTGGATGGTCTGAGGACAGCGCCCCTTCTGTGTATGACGCGCTGCCCCCCATCTCACTGAGTGGTAAATTAATGAGTGAGCATTGTCCATTCCAATCTTGCTGCGTCAGAGTGTATGTTCCAGTCTTCCACTTCGTTGTATTGTCTGTTGCTGGGGTCGTTTCCTTGGATCTGCGCTACACTTTGCTGTGTGTAGATGTGTATGCGACAGTTTGGTATCGGAGCTAACCTCAACGAGAGAAAGTCTGCTCAGCAAGTTGTCACTTTGAATCTCAAGCAAGAAGTAATCAAGTATTGATTTTGATCAATTGGCAATGAAAAATGCATTGACTGATTTGCAATCAGACTCGCTTTCTTTCGCACTCCACATGCACGTAAACAGGTAGCGCAGCAAACTGGCGACAAGCGCCCACTCAAAACTCAGAGATACGGAAACCAAGAACACAGTTCAGATCCAAGTTCGCTTCAGATGGCTATGGCGCACCAGCGCCTGTACAACTCCCTGTTCGTCACTGCGCCCCACTCTGCTGTTCACACACCCTCAACTTAGGACCACCCAGGATATCCCACACGCGTCACCTGTACACACACGCACACACACACACTACACTCTTCTATCAGCCATGGCGGCTATGGCCGCTACTACCCCTATCACTATGGCTAAGCCCTCCTTCTCGCCCACTTCGTCTTCAGTCATACTGCAGACCACCTCGCACAAGTCGCTGTGGCAGCGCTTCCGCATGGCTTCCGCAGGAATGAATGAATGGCTGGGCGCTGCCTCTTGATTTATACTTTTGTAGCTCGTTGGTCTGCCCCTTTCTCATGCCCCTGGTGCACACAGTCCCACACGGTACTTGCTTGACTGGACTGAGACTGACAGGGACTGGGTACCGCGGACTCAGCACCAGTGGACTTTGCCACTTGCCCACTTGCGTCGGTCTACTGTGGGCAGTACCCGAAAGGTCACTTTCGGACCTTCCGGAAGACCGTGGACTTGGCCTTTCGGTACTGTAGCAGCTACGACCTTGACCCTTCGGAGGAGCTACAGCTACGACTTCTAGAACTCACCAAGACTCGGAAGGATATAACCTTTGTAAGTGCGTCTTACAAATCCATACTTCTTAACCACATCGGCAAAAACAGGGTCCAATCTTTTCTCCATTAATAATAACAAACTCTTTTGTTTGTCTAAATAAGTATACGTTTTTTTTGCTACTTTTTGAACATGCGTTCGAGACGGAACGCTGATGGAGAGCTGTATTTAAAACAACAAGCCCTTTATGGCATATTAGCCACTATTCTTCTAGCTTTAGTTTTTACTGCATTTCAAGGAATGGAATATGTAGAAGCTCCTTTTACCATTTCTGAGTTATTTCCCCAGTTCCCACGATCTCGAATTTAATTGAATTGTCTCCTGGTATTATCAGTCATGTGGTTTCTACTTTTTCCCTAGCTTACTGAAACCTCACGGAGCGTAAGTTTTCTTTCCTTCTTTGCTCGATTATGTAATCAATCGCTTATCGCTTTGCCACAGATTTGCAACGAGGAATCTTTTTATTAAGTTTTTTTTTTATGGCAAGCCGAAAGCAAGACGCAAAGAAGTGGGCGTCCGGTCTCCTTCCTGGATTTCCTTTTTTAACTGGATTTTATTCGAAATATGACTCCGGGAGCGACTTTTTGTGCTTCGCACGCGCCCTCGTCGACATATTCTCTGGGCGTTGGTCACGACTCTCTCTGGCCAGCCGAAAGAAACCAGTTTTCTGGTGATTGGGCGGACCGTGATACGCAATCGGTCATGACCCCATTATTTTGCTTGCGTCACTCGGTCGGAGGTTCCAGCATATAGCCAGATTTTGTCTTTGATGCTGAAGAAAATACCCCTTTGTCGAGGAATTTCGCTTGTTCATGTTATTCGCTAAATTTGGTCTTGGCAGAGTCCTGTGTTTTTAATAAACAGTCGCTACCCCCTGTTATGTGCCACTTTTGTCTGTTTTTGCAAAGAAAAGCACTCCTCCCGAAGTTACGGAGTCATTTTGCCGAGTTCCAAAGAAAGGAGCACCAGTGGAAACTTCTCTTTGAGCTAATAGATGAAAAAGCACAGGTGCCGCGGTACCACAGAGAACAACCAGGGTACTACGGATCCTCTGCGATCCACCTTTATTGGTGACATAACTTAATTCTTTTGTTTTCTTACTACCTTTCTTGACTTTAATTAACAGCAAAATAACAACAATTATGTTTGAATTTCAATGTTGTTATTTGTTTCTGACCTTCAACCACTCAGACATCCATCCAAAGCAAAGACGCCGACACGGGCTGCCGNCAACAATTATGTTTGAATTTCAATGTTGTTATTTGTTTCTGACCTTCAACCACTCAGACATCCATCCAAAGCAAAGACGCCGACACGGGCTGCCGACAGCCATGCATTGTGTTTAAACATTCTTTAATAACCACATCGACAAAAACAGGGTCCGCATCGTATTTAGCTAAATCACTACTCAATTTTTGAGTTTTGAATTGTTTTCGTAATTTGAGAATTCGACTTATTTTCGGTAATCCATCATTACATAATAACACATATTTTATAGTACGTGTGATAAATTGAGAAGCGGCAACAATTATGTTTGAATTTCAATGTTGTTATTTGTTTCTTTGATGGCTGGAAGTTCTTCAAGGTATGAAAAGCGGAGGCCGAAGGTCCGTTTCTCCTTGGGGAAAACCAACCGGGTTCTTTTCACCTTTCCCTCACGGTACTTGTACACTATCGGTCACTGAGAAATACTTAGGCAAGATGTTTTTCAACAAAATATGATAGATTTTCAAAAGACTATCAAAAAAATACGACAATAGAAAGGTCTCTAGTAGCTCTGCTTGGTTTCGCGGTCCAAGTCCGTCGATTTAGGCTCCTTCCCCTCTGCCG